TTTTTTTTTTTTTGGGTCAATTAAAAGTATTATACAAAATTAAGAAAAGAGCAAATATGTATTGATTGAATTATCATGTTTTATTAGAACTCAAAAGAATTTTCGGTTAATTGCTTATAAGATCCCAACTTGCAGTGTAATTGTAAATAAAACTCAATTTTTTCAACTTTGCAACAAAATACCAAATATTTTATTATGTATTGCAATTTTGTCTCAACATCACTTTCCGGTCAGGCTCTGCTGAAATGTTCGATCGAAAAATTTGACGTGGCACCGATTAAGATTGCGTGACACTCAAATCCACGCCACACTTATCTTTTCTTCTTTTTAATCCCATTTTCTTCTCATTTTGCCCCAATTTTACAGCTCACTTTTATTAGAAAAAAAAAATACTTCGGCTCTCGATTTTCGATCAATCAATTTCCCAACGATTCACCTTCGAAAATCTCGACGACTAATTCAGGCTTGATTCTTCACCCCAAAAATCGAGTTCGCCACATGCTTGATCCTGATCCGGAAAGTAATGTTGAGACAAAATTGCAATGCATAATAAAGGTTTAATATTTTGTTGCAAAGTTGAAATAGTTGAGTTTTATTGCAATTACACTAAAGGTTGGGGTTTTATACCAAATTAACCCAAGAATTTTTCATCAATGCCACTAATTTCATATTTTGTTACATCAATTTCATATCTTTATAACTTATATATCATCAAAATCTTACACTAGAGATGTTCTTACTTCTTAGATCACTCGAGACAAAACTTCTTCATAAACCAGAGAACTTCATTTCACAACAAAGTTACATAAACCCATATATCTTCATCAACTTTCAACAAACTCCACACCCAAAACACACACACACACACACACATACACACACACAATTGTTCCTTAGAATTTTCTCAAGGACAAATAGGGCTCCTACCCGGCCCTCCATAGTAGAACTCGGGATCGTCTACGTAATCGGAAAGGAAATAATAATTGTAACAATTGTACTCGTCGGCGTACATAAACACCCACTGTGGAAACTTCAAGACGAGGTCGTATTGAAGCACTCTCATCCGCTTTATGTAGCCCGAGTTTTGCATTACGAAGTCCGAAAACTCGCCGCTACCCATCTCGGTTTTCGTGTGGGGCTGCGTCCCAACTCTCGTGCTGTAGACCTCTCCGCCCCATTGCACGGTTTCCGCATGGCGGCTAAGCGCGGCAAAAAGATCGCCCGGCCAGTAACCGACGTTGATCCTTTCCCCGTATTGAAGCCACCAGTTGCTTGTGTTGGGATCCTTAGTTAATTCAATGGCACAATGTAAGGTGTATATGAAATTAAATGTGAGATATATAATGTAATTAGAAGATGTAGGGGTAGAATGGTAACTCTGTAGAGGTAAACTGTGATTTGGTAAGGAAGTCCAGTGGGGTTTGAGATTGGGTAAATGGCAGCACCAAGAGCTATTTCATTGCTGGTTTGGACAAAACCTGGGCAGGTCAAATCAAAGCAACCTGTTTTTACTGACCCATCAGCCTGAAATTAAATTTATACATTACAAAAAAATTAAATTAATCACCAATATTTTTAGTAATTAATTATGTTGCGAGTAGATTAGAGTCGTTAAACATAACGAGCCACTCATGAGCTTGACTCGGCTAGTTAAAGCTCGAGCTATTAATGAAGGGGAGTTTGAGCTCATTTAAAGCTTGTTTGTTCAAATGAGCCGAACTAAGCTCGTTAATGCACAAAAATATGATTTTTTTTTGTAATTTTTTATAAGTCGACTTGTTAAGTCTCAAGTTTTGATCGTTAAAAGTTAATAAAAGAGCCGAGTTCGAGTCAACGCGATAAAGGCTGAAATTCGAGCTCGAGTATCAGAAACTCAAGTTCGGCTCATTTGGAGTTTTAAGAGGATATTTATTGCATTAAATTTAACCACCAAACGTACCGTCCAATAAACGTACAATCGTGTCTGCCTATCTCCGTATACTCTGGGATTGACCTAGTCAAAATTGCCACCTTGTCAGCAATTGATGAGCTTACTATTTCAAGCAAGTAAATGAAATCAAGATTAACAAAAACAATACATGAGAATATAACTTGTTTTTCTTTTCATCTGCTTTAACATTACTTTTTTGAGTACTTATTTTTAGCACAAACGGGTCCAACCGGTCAGTTCTTTATTACTGACTAGTGTATATCCCGTGCGATGCACGGCGGGCTTGTTTCTTAAAATATTTTTTAAAACTTTATTTTAAGAATATGTTAGCTTGATAACAGTTTATATTAATAAATACTACTTTAACATCTATATTTATTTTTTTGATATAGACAAAATAATATTTTTACTTATTTTTGTTCATTATAACACTTCACTATTATTTTTTAAGAAAATTTATTGTTGTATAAAGTCATTATTATTATTATTATTTAT